GGCGGGCACCCGGCAGGCCACGCGCGCGCACGCGACGAGAAGAGCGTGTGCGCGCGGCCGGCCGGCCGGCGCCGCCGGCGAGGCGCAACCCTGGGACGGGGCGCATAGCGCGCTGCGTACACGATTCTGGCCCGTAGTGTCCGCCGCCGCCGCCGCGGGGGGCGGGGGGCGGCGCGGGCGCCCGCGGAGGAATGCTGTCAGTGCAGTGGTTTGGGGCGCGGGCGCGGGGCGCGGCGCGGCGCGCGCGTGGCCTTCCGCGGGCGGGGAAAAAACGGGCGGCGCGCCCCTCGCGTGTGTGCGCGGGCGGCTGCGAAGGGGTTGGGAGGATCTTGGCGGTGGAAGCATGGCGCAGCCAGGAGTTCAGGCGGGAGCCGGCGAGACCAAAAGGCAGGAGCACCGCGGGGCCGCCGAGCGGGCAGAGGGCAGAGACAGGGTCAGGGACGCCGGGGCAGGGGCGGTGGGAAGCTGCGGGGCGGCTGCCGCCGCGGTGTAGCGGATGGCTGGGTGCAAGGCCAAAGGCGCGCGCGCGGCCTGCGGACCAGGGCCCGGCCCCTGCTCATGCCTGCAGCAGCCAAGGGTGCCTCGTCAACTTCCGACCTGTACCGCGCCCTAAGGAAGCTGCCCAGGCACACGGGCGCCCGAGCCGCCGCGGGGCGGCCCCAGGCGCCCAGCCGCGTGCGCGGCGAGCGGCACCGCTCACAAGGCGGGCCCGTGCTCCCGCCACAGGTTCCTGGGCGGCGCGGCGCGCGCCCCTGGCGGCCGCGGCCGCGGCAGGCAAATCCCCCACAGCGTGCAGAGCGCGCGCCCGGCGGGGCGCCGGGCCGCAGGTTTGGTGATACAGATGACACGGGCGCGGCGCTTTGGGAGCGCCCGACCAGCCGAGCGAGGGCCGGGGCGCGACTGATGGGGGCCGCCCGGGATTAGAAGCGGCCGGGGCGGCCCCAGCGCCCGTCCCCCGCCGGCAAACACATGAGACATGACTAAAGCTGCATAAGGGCTGCATCCCCTGCCCCCGCGGGTGGGCTGTCCCACTCCCGATTTGAGGTCGTTCAAAGCCGTCAAAGGCCGCAAGCAAAGGCTGGCGGCACTGCAGGCGCGCCCGCGGGCGGGACGAATCGATGCGACGCCACCCGGGCGCAGCGCGCCGACGGGCGCGCGTCTGCGGTCGCTGCTTTTCCCCCGCAATTCCCTCGAATCAGAATCCAAGAAAGCCTGGAAGCAGGGCAAGCAGGGAGGGCGGGACGGCAGCGGCGGCGGCGCGCTCGCGCGCGTGCGTGCGTGCGTCAAAGCGCGCCGCAACACTCCTAAAATCAGCGTTCCTACGAGCAGAATGTGTGCGAGCATCGTGCACCCATGAGACATATATTGACAGGCGCGGCGGGCAAGGTGGATAGGCAGGGCGGGGGAAGAGACAAACACGTGCAACGGAGCGGAATGAGATGAGAAGAGGGGGAGGGAAGGGGCACGGCGGGCC